TTTTTTTTTTCCAATTGATGTTATCTCAATATTTCACCACATCAAGAAAAAAAGAAAACAAGTACCTAAATGACGCACATTAGTTTTTGATGCGCTGTGATTCATGCCTGCTCGTACAGACTTTGCTTTGGGCAACTTTACATTCATATGCTAATGCTTCTTGTAATTCACTTTAAGGATATGAGACCCAATATAAACTCAGTCAAGCTATTTTGTCACTACTAACTCTAGATTACAGTCTTTGTCATATTATTTTTGTATTTCCTTTGTATATGATTCTTGCTGGGGTTTTTTTTAAAAGAAACTATCATTTTTTAAGTTCAAACTGGAATGAATAGTTCACAGCTCACAGGTCCTGTGCAGAAATCAGTTATTTACCAAACTTTAACAGCAGGTTGCTATAAATATCTAGAATATAATGGCATGTATGATAAACCTACTGTAAATTGAAAAAAGCTGTGTCAAAACGCTCTGAAAAGATTGTTGTGGAGAAAGTTGCATTTTGGATACAAAGTCTGAACAATGCATCTACTACAGTTTATTACATTGTTATTTAATTAAACTTACTGTAATTTCACAGTCACTTTTTCAAAAAGCTTCTTAAACTTATTCATTTATTCTCCTAGCACCAAATGATAGAAACAGTAAACCAGTTACATTATGACATTATTTGACAGTGGTTGTACAACAACAAACACATCACTTTAAAACCATCACTTTTAGAAAAGGCAATTAATCCAAACAATTGAAATTTCACGTTTCAGTATTTTCATTAAGAATGTAGAAATTTTTCTATGAATGCCTTCTATTGAGGTTTCTTTAAAGCAGAAGTACAGCATAAAATATCTTAGCTGGATCATTTCTTACCAGATCAGACAAGCTGGTACTTAAGCAGCAACAAGCTAACCTCATTTTCACCGTTGCCTTCATGGTGACAGGGCTTCCCCGATTTAATTTAAATTTAATGGATCACCACATAAAGGAATGAATGGAGTCTGATAAATTATAGGTATCTACTGCTACTGTTAACTGGCTAATTACCTGGTAAACGCATTATCTTTCAGGTTATTATAGGAGAAGTTGTAAAATCACATGTAGATTTACACAGTTTTTATTGTATTAAAAGAAGCGTCCAAGAAGGTCCATTTACTGTAAACTTTATCTCCAGGTCACTTTTCCTGTGTAATATCCCCTTAACCATTAAAGACTTTACATTCACATGACGCAATAATCTGTTTAATTCTGTTGTCTGATTTCTTTTAAACACTTAGGAGTTCGATGACAGACGTTTTTGATTCTCTTTCCTGCTTTTTTGGTGCGTCTGATTGTGACTCAATGGTGTCTGATTACGGGGGCTTTTTCTAACACAGGATATATCTGTATTTAGGCCACTTCCCTCCCTCCGGCTAACAAGTTGTGTGCGTAATTCTGCGGGTTACAGGTACCGAGCTGACGTTTATATCCTCAGAACCTGGGATTTATCATCACACGGCCACATTTACCTCTTTAAACCTGCCATAACTGCAACGTGCTGTTTTTCTAAAGACCCCGTATGGCTGACGTCTGATGCCATTTTAACTTTTACTCCGATGGAAGTTCTCAAACTCAGGTGACTGGGACAGGCCCCCCGAGTGGATCCCATTTGCCCAGGTGGAAATTGGGAAGCTTTAGATGGAGAGCAATGATAGCATAAAAGCTCACCTCCATGCTTATCCTTATATTTGCCTGTAAAGCCGGAGAATCAGAGCACAGAATCAGAGCACAGCAGGAATTAAACCGGCCCGGGGAAATAACGAGAAAGTTTTGATGCCATTTTGAATTAAACTTTTAATCATAGTATTTGGAATTATTATTTATTTGCACTAAAGTAGTTTCAGTCATATCCTCCCGAGACCCAAAGAAAAAAAGTGCCTTCAAATTTCTTTTTTGTTGTGATTTTCCATGTATTTGGACCTAAAAAAAGAACATTACAATTTAAATTTTGAAAAAAATATTTTTAATTTTAATTTCATAGCATGTCCACTGTGGAGGACAAAAGGACGATTTGCATGGGAAAATAGAACAGGCTTTAGATAATTAAATAATCAAAAAGAAGATGTCTTGAAAGGGATATTTACCTAAGAACTCTTAGGAAGCTTTAGATGCAGAGCAATGATAGCCTAAAAGCTCACCTCCATGCTTATCCTTATTGGAAAAGTGTTGGATATTTGCCTGTAAAGCCGGAG